ATATATATATATATATATATACATATATATATATATACATACATTATTTTGTCGAAGTATATATATATACATTAATTTCTTGTAAACGTATTTTCAACTCAACTGTGTTTTCAACTTTCGTATTATATTCGTACAATTTTACGTATTATTGTGAATTAACACATAAATCTATATTTATAAATCCTGAGAACAATGATATTCATGAATATCAAGTTGATTGAAGAAAGTTTCGTCACTGCCATGACTACGTCTGTATCTTTCAGTTTTGTGTCAAATGACGACTGGAAGTGTTTATCGATAGTTCATGCACGAAACTTCAACAAAGGGTACACGTTGTAAAACAAACTGGGTAAACGTATAGTATTTTCGACACAGGCTTGTAGGAATTTCATCCATCTTGTGGATTTGATGTCTGATTATTTTCTTTTTAAAAAATTGCTCCCAAGTTAATTTTTGCCAAAATACCCTCACTTCATTTTGACTAATAGTTAATATACTTAAGAATACGTTTTTGAGAAATAGAATGTTGTTTTTCATTCTATGACAATGCGGATTGTGGATATAAGGATTCATGGCTTGCATCCCGTTTCCGCAAAGAAATAAAGTGACGCTCCGCATTTTGTGGCGGTGGGAGCGTTATAAGAGCGACGGTCAAATCCTACTATTGAAATAGAATAGCCACGGGTGTTGTTGACTAGCCATCCATCTAGAGTTGACTGTTGGGCAAGTAGCTCTGGTGTTGCTTTGTGTGAATATTCGAAATAAACAAACAAACAAATTATTCATTAATTGAACATATCGATGAAGAGCAGATCTGTTTCCTTTTCTCATCATACAGGTGTTAACTATAAAAAAACATTTTTAGGTTTAATTTTAGTGTTTTGCGTTATATGAAAGTTGTAAAGATTAAATCTCAGTTTTATTTCATTAACAGTACTGTGTTTATTCACGTGTGTAGTGATTGCAGGTATACTGTGGAGATTGTGAATAACGTTTCTTTCATTACTGTGGGGATTCTGTGTCCTCCATTATTGTGGGAATTAATGTGTCGTCCATTACTGTGGGGATTAATGTTTTGTCCATTATTGTGGGGATTACTGTAAGAATTGTGAATAGTGTGTCGTCCATTACTGTGGGGATTGTAAATACTGTGTCGTTCATTACTGCGGGGATTCTGTGTCCCCTATAACTGTGGGAATTAATGTATCGTCCATTACTGTGAGGATTGAGAACAGTGTGTCGTCCATTACTGTGAGGATTGAGAATAATGTGTCGTCCATCACTGTGAGGATTGAGAATAATGTGTCGTTCATTATCGCGGGGATTATGTGTCCCCCATAACTGTGGGAATTAATGTGCCGTCCATTACTGTGAGGATTGAGAATCGTGTGTCGTCCATTACTGTGTGGATTGTAAATACTGTGTCGTTCATTACTGGGGAGATTATGTGTCCCCCATAACTGTGGGAATTAATGTACCGTCCATTACTGTGAGGATTGAGAATAGTGTGTCGTCCATTACGAATAGAACATTAATGTTCTCTAATTATAATCTAGAAACGTCTGGTGATTATGCCAAACATAAAAAGATAATCTTCGCTCAGTACAGTCGAAATTTGAAAAAAAACAAAAAACAGTAAATATGTAAAGAAATAAAACATTAACAAACCGCGACGTTCTGTACAAAGAGTTTATTTGAGTAAAAACATACGATCAACAAGACTATTTACATTAATAGATCCCGTAACCAATTAATGTAATCTGTTCCTACTAACTCTGTATAAGTAAAAACCGCCATAATTGGTGAAATAAAAGACTAGAAAACACACATGAAGGGCAACAGCAAAACAAAACACGATGTACAATTTTGGTCCATCATTGCACAGTAAGAGAAATGTTTATAGAGGATTAACGTACCTCCTGTTGAAACCTTTAGTGCTATCTGGACCACGTGGAAGTCGAATCACCCCTTCCGGAATTAGCCTAGAATTATGGACTGGCTGAGGAGTGCCAATTTCGCGTCTTCTCTGTATCCACGAATTTTTATGAGATGAAGATAGGGTTTCATGTTCCTGGTATTCACCATTCTTGTTATTTCGAGGGATTGGTGATCCATTTCTATTTTGTTGTTGTCCTTTCCTTATGTAGTTACCAATCCATTCGACCTGTCTTGGTGATGACGATACATAGCCAGAGCTGGAGCTTGAGGCGGTATCAGATCTCTGCCTCGGACCAATGGAGCAGTCCGTTTCAGAACCACTACTGACCAGACTTTCACTTCTTCTCAGCTGCTCTATCCTGCTCCATTTGTCTTTCTTTTTTCTTTTATCACCACTGTCAGATTTCTTGTTTTTCTCGCTTAAAGTTGATTTTTTACTAACCAGTGGAACGACACGCAAAGATCGCCAATCAGTGTTTGAGCAGTCTAGTTCAACAGTTGCTTTCTTTGCCGCCTCAGGTTCTGTAAACTCAACTACAGCACAGACTGTAGATCCCATTCTGGGAAGATGGCGTTTAATATCAGCTGGAATAGCGTTGCCAGGTTGCAGAATCCTGACCGTCGAAATCTCTCCACACTTAGAGAACAGGTCTTTAACAATTTCCACAGAGGGTTGACTCACAGGTAAGTTGTACGCTACAATACTCCTAGAAGATGGATCCCAGTTCTTTGGTAAGGGATTCTTCCGCTTTATTTTAGTTCCTTCTTTGTTTAAGTCCAAATGTTTGGACTGTCGTAAGCTGTAGGCTACAATTTTCCAGTCTTTGGATAGACGCTTTACTTTTCGAAATGAGGCAACTAACTTGAGACTCACATAACCCTGTTTATTTCGTTTAATATGTTTTAAAAGAAAAGTGTCTTTCAGAAGACTTTGATCTGAGAAATAGGACTCGACTTCGTGAATAATTTTATCTACCAAGTCTTGACTAGGAATTTGAAAAAACTCTGTCAGCTTAGATCTATCTTCTCCAGAGTCACTGTCGAAATCTCCATCTCTAAGGTGTATATCGACTTTCTCTCTGCTGTTTCCGGTGGTCACTAGGTCGCACTCCGCGTCTAAATACTCTCCAGGTTCAGAAGAACTGGTGCTGTCAAACCGACGTCTCGCCATTAACGGGAACCGAGTTTGTTCTTCACCGCCAACCGAGTCGATACTAGCGGAAACATCAACCATCTTGGTAGAGTGATGTTAGTTTGGTCACTTTAAAGTCCCCAACAGTGTACCCGACATATTTTTGTTCTTTAAAGTCCCATATTTATAGTGAGTTTAACTACATATATACGGCTCAAGGTGATCTCAGCTCAACTCTGATTGGCTAGCCGAATACGGCTGTTACTTTTACTTGAAGATCGCGCGAAAGAAGTCGAGGCCACGCTGTGATCTTGTAATAGTTTCGCCAGTTGCTCCATTTTTACGACGTGATAACGCATTTGTGTTTTAAATTCATTCGTAAGCAACATAGATATGAAGTGCAAAACATATTTTACACATGTCGAAATGGTATATCATACCACGAAGTTTTAAACTCAGTTGTTGCATTAGGCTTAATAGGCGATCGAAATGACTAACCACGTGCTGCGTAACTGAAAGAAAAAAGGAGCCGTTTCCTGTAGTTGATGGCAAAGTAAAAAATAAACTGACTGATTTTTTAGTACATGAATTTCATAACTGAAAGTCCCCAACGCTCAAATCTGGGGCTCCCACGATATACAGAGTAGAGATAGTCCGTTGTGTAACTTTGCTCTAAAACTAAAACAACAATATAAATGAAATGTGACAGATTCAGATAACTTTTCAATGGGATATTAAAAGTTGAATCGAAAAAAATGTAGTATATATATACTATTACTATTTGAAATAATTTATATTAAAGGATCTATCCTGGAATTTTAATTGTGTCGCCGAAAATGTTGCTAGAAATGTTTGTATTTTTATCCATATATATATATGAACATCTATACAACTTTGTTTTCATAAAGTAATTATTAAAGACATTTTATGTTAACACTAAGAAGTTTATATTTTCTGTAAATGGAAAAGTTCACAACCAACTCTTATTTGAAATATAAAAATTAATGCATATGAATCTAACAAACAATATTGTAGAGTATAATAATAAGACATAAGTTTCAAGTAAAAGTTATGAAAGAAGACATTATATCGTGGCGCTTTTTATTCGCGTTTCTATCATTCTCGCTGAAAAAAAAAAAAGATTTACGTTGCTGCTATATAACAAGTACAAGATCCAATTACTAGTGACAAACATTTAACTAAAGAATTTATAAATTGGGAGGTACCTTATTGTAGGACTACTGCAATAGAAAACAGGTTATAATAATGTGGCTCTTTTTTACATTAGAAAATAGTTTGAATTAAGACCAGCGCTGTGTTTACTTATATTAGAAAAATAGTGTTATTATTATTTAAGCAGTGAAGAAACATCAATAGCAGTGCCAATATTGTAACTATTTATACATTAGAAAATAGCTTGAAGTAGGACCAGTGTTACTAATAATTAAACAAGACTAGCGTTGTGGTAATACAAAAAACAGATAACAGCTTATAACAGGACCAGTGTTATTTTATTTAAACAAGACTAGCGTTGTGGTAATACAAAAAACAACAACAGATAACAGCTTATAACACGACCATTGTTACTAATATTTAAACAAGACTAACGTTGTGGTAATACAAAAAATAGATAACAGCTTATAACAGGACCATTGTTACTAATATTTAAACAAGACTAGCGTTGTGGTAATACAAAAAAAACAGATAACAGCTTATAACAGGACCATTGTTACTAATATTTAAACAAGACTAACGTTGTGGTAATACAAAAAATAGATAACAGCTTATAACAGGACCATTGTTACTAATACTTAAACAAGACTAGCGTTGTGGTAATACAAAAGCAGATAACAGCTTAAAGTAGGACCATTGTTATTTTATTTAAACAAGACTAGCGTTGTGGTAATAACAAAAACAGATAACAGCTTAAAGTAGGACCATTGTTATTTTATTTAAACAAGACTAGCGTTGTGGTAATAACAAAAAGAGATGACAGCTTATAACAGGACCATTGTTATTTTCAGAACCATTGTTATTTTATTCAAACAAGACTAGCGTTGTGGTAATACAAAAAATAGATAACAGCTTATAACAGGACAATTGTTACTAATTAATACGAAAAAAACAGATAACAGCTTATAACAGGACCAGTGTTACTAATATTTAGACAAGACTAGCATTGTGGTAATACAAAAAAAAATAGCTTATAATAGGACAAGATTTGTTATTTAAACTTTATAAAAAAGGGTATAGAAGGACCATTTTTCCGGGTATTTAAAAAGTAGAAAATTGCTTATAGAGACCAAAATTACAATTCTTTAAACAATGGAAAACAGCTTATGGTAAGACACAGTTAGTTAAGCATTAGAAAACAGATTACAATAGGACAAGTGCTGGGGTCATTTAAACATTAGAATATATATTAAAGTAGGACCAGTTTTGTAGTTAGTTAAACAGTGTGAAATGATTCATAGTAGCATCTGCATTGCAGTTATTTACATATTATAAAATAGCTTATACTGCGACTAGTATGGAGGTTATCTAAATCGTGGAAAAATAGTATAAGAAGGACTGATATTTTGATATTTACAAGTAAAAACAAGCTTATAATAGGACCAAAGTTGTTGTAATTTAAACATTAGAACATAGTTTATAGTAGGAAAAGTATTGTGTTTATTTAAACAGTATAAAATAGGTCATAGTAAGACCAGTTTTATAGTGATTTACACATTATAAAATATTTTGTGGTAAGACCAATATTGTATTTATTTAAACAATGAAAACAATCTTATAGTGGGACCAGTATTGTTAAACAATGAAAACAATCTTGTAGTGGGACCAGTATTGTATTTATTTAAACAATGAAAACAATCTTATAGTGGGACCAGTATTGTATTTATTTAAACAATGAAAGCAATCTTATAGTGGGACCAGTATTGTATTTATTTAAACAATGAAAACAATTTTATAGTGTATTTATTTAAATAACGAAAACATCTTATAAGGGGGTAAGTATTGCGTTTATTTCAATAGGAATAACAATTTTATAGTGATACCAGTATTGTGTTTATTTAAACAATGAAAACCATCTTGTAGTGGAACCAGTACTGTGTTTATTTAAATAGTGAAAACAGTCATATTGTGCTTATTTAAACAATGAAAACAATCATATAGTAGAACCAGTAATGTGTTTATTTCAATAGGGACAGCAATTTTATAGTGGTATCAGTATTGTGTTTATTTAAACAATGAAAACAATCTTATAGTGGGATTTCTGATTTTGTTAGTTACACAATGTATGAGGACACTGTTATAGCAGGACACTGTTGTGGTCGTTGAAGCTTTACAAAGTGTCATTTTGTAGAATCAGTGTTCTGAATATTTAAACAGTAGAAAATAGCTTATATCGGGATCAATATTGTGGTTATTTAAATAGTAGATAAAGGTTGTATTCGAAACAGTATTGTGGTAATAAGCAAGATTACGACACTTGTGATATACAATATTGTTTATTAACAAAAAGGGGACAAAGATAAACCTTTCGGAATTCTATCAAATTCCATCTAAAATATCTAAAGCAAAATAAAATGAATTTACACAAGTCTTTAGACATTGCTAAAGTACAGATGCTAAATTTAACGATAATTTTTGGTTATTTAATGTTAAAAAACAACTTATAATAGGACTTCTGCTGCTGTTATTTAAACATTAGAATATATATTTATATATCCCACAAAGTAAATTTCTTGGGCTCCAAAAATGAAATATTTAAAGTTATTATTCCCCACTTCTATTTAACTGTTATGAAAGATAAAATACACCTAAAAGCAAGAAAACATACACTAATATAAATTCAACTTTAAAAGCTACATAACAACAACTGATGTAGATCCAATTTAAAAGCTACATAACAACAACTGATGTAGATCCAACTTTAAAAGCTACATAGCAACAATTGATGTATGTTCAACTTTAAAAGATATAAAACAACAACTGATGTAGATTCAACTTTAAAAGCTATATAACAACAAAGTTAATGCAAATCTCTGTAAGTTGTGTTAAAGGTTCCCATTGTGAATTTCTAAGACTTTTTTTTCTTTCTATAAAACTTAGAAAGGACGCTTCCGCTACAGATGTAAATATCTAAGTTTTCTATTATTTGTAAGCAACTTTTATTTTGAGTAATTGGAAGAACTGTTGCAATCTCTGAATAATTTATGTGGTCTCATGATGCAAGGTCAGTGTAACTGTGATCAGCAGGTAACCCTTATGTGGTCTCATGATGCAAGTTCTGTGTAACTGTGATCAGCAGGTAACCCTTATGTGGTCTCATGATGCAAGTTCTGTGTAACTGTGATCAGCGGGTCACTCTTATGTGGTCTCATGATGCAAGTTCAGTGTAACTGTGATCAGCAGGTAACCCTTATGTGGTCTCACGATGCAAGTTCAGTGTAACTGTGATCAGCAGATCACTCTTATGTGGTCTCATGATGCAAGTTTTATGTATCGGTGATACGTAGTTCACTCACACTCCATTTCTTACATGCCTAAAGGAATACCATCCTCAACAACCCTAACGAACCATTTCAAGGACTGTTAACCTTGGGTTGTATAAGTTTGTCTCTTGTCTGCTGTTTATAAAGGAACAATGAACATAATCAAACAAATATTTTTTGGGGTCAGTTTGAGATTATAAAAAGAATGTCAATTGTGAATTTTACATATAGAATATTACAGAAGTAACCATGACAACAAGTAACATAACGAAATATTACTCAGAGCATCTGGAATAATATCAGAAACAAAATAAAAAATTAACAATTTCCATATTTTATATAACAAAATATTTTCTGATTTCCATTGATTTGTTATAAGGTTTTTTGGTTTACTACCTGTTACTCAAAAATTCAAGGTGACATTTTATTGATCAATCACACATCGGCGCGTGCATCTGTTTGGACATCAAATCAAAATTTGTATGTTTTTCTTTTTTAGGTGACAAAATCAATAAAGTTTGATGTGATAAGTAGTGTTACGAT